AGGAGGTTCCTGTCTCTGCAGCCCTGACCACTGGTTGCTTGAGTCATCGGATTCCGCAGCCGGTGGACTTACTATTTTTTTATATAATATATTTTATTTTGTTATTTTTTTCTTAAGAAAATCATGTGAAATGTATTATATATAAAAATAAGAGAATAAAGATATGAAGGTAATAATAATACTGATGGCTGGTATTATTTATGTATTTTATTATTTAAGCATGTTTTATTGTTATATGTTTTTTTATATAAGTATATATATTTTTACGTATAAATATATATAAATAAAAATATTTTTATTTTATTTACATATGAAAGAAAGCCAGACAGAGAAAATAATTTTAAAAATAGAATTTAATACTGACTTAAGGCTTCTATTCCCGTGCAGGATATCACTCTTCTTGAACTTCCGTCCGCGATAATGAGCGAAGGATTTGGCATCAATACGGTGGTACATCTCCAGCTTGCGGTCTTCCCGCTCCTTCGCTGCCACCTGGTTGTCCACGTCCACCAGAATCTCCTGCAATACAATTAAAACCAGTACAAATACTAATATAAAAAGGAATGATTTGTATTTTTGTATATATAGAAATAAATAAAAAACTACTAAGTCGATTTAAAAAAATCTTTAAAAAAATCTATGTTTTCACTGAAATATAGGCTTTTTTCTCGTGGACTCAGTTGCAAGCAATCTATAATAATATAATAAAGCGTAAACACAATTATGGAGGATGTCAGCTAATTCTTTCTTTAATAAAAACTGCTACACTTACGACACGCTTTAGACTATATATTCACGATATTAAACTTTAATATAATAAAATTGAAAAACGCTCATGGGAAAGGGACCATCAACTACAAGCTGGCAACATTAAGGAAGCAAAGTTATTATGGTAGCGGTAATTTTGACATTTGCTATTGAGAATTTGACAAATGTAAACAATAAAATTAACTTTTTATTATTTCATGCGGATGAAGCCGCACGGGAGCAGCTAGTACTAATATAAAAAAGCGTAAACACACTTTTTTATGAAGAATTCTTTCTTTAATAAAAAGCCCGCGTGCGAAATCTAGTACAAGTATAATTTATTTACCTTAACACCGCATAAAGCTTTTTGCAGCAATTCCTTCTCAACAACATCATCACCAGCTGTCTTCAGCAGCGGCTCCAGCAGTAGAGGATACTTGGTCAGCCGCTGCGCCACGAACAGCACGCACTCCGGGACACCCTGTACGAATAACTAGAAATAACTACAGAACACCCTCTACAAATAACTAGAAATAACTCCGAACACCCTCTACAAATAACTAGAAATAACTTCGGAACACCCTGGACAAATAACAACAGATAACTCCGGAACACCTGTATACTTCACTACAGATAATTCCGGAACATCCTGCAAATATAACTCTGGATATAACAATATTGTAGCCACCGACAATATTACCTCAAGTAAATGATAGGCAGTAAAAAACAATTTGTAACTCATAGCTCACCCTTGATGTACTAATTTTGATAATTCTTTATTTAATCTAAAATACGTACCTTCTAGTCCCATTTAAATTTTATCATATTACAATCATTTGTTTTTGAGATAAATAATAAAAATATAATATTAAAAATAAACTTTAAATCTGTAGCATTAAAGTATAAAATGGCATTACCTTTTTCCTGAGCAGCGGGTTCTGCTGACACTTGCGTATGAAGCGCGCAAGCCGGGGCTCCCGCGTACAACACTCCTTAAATACCTCCACAGCCTCGCGGTGACGAGAACAGAATTCACCTATAAAGTAATTACAACTTTATTTCAATAGTCATAAAGACTATTTTGTGTAATCAATGAATGGAGATTGGTACGTCGAAGATCGAAGCATAAATGGATTGTATAAAAGAGGGCATTCTTTAGAAGGGAGTAAATTCAAATATGACGGTTGATAGAGATGTATGGAAATGGGCAAGTTCTGACTATTATAATAGTAGCTTTTATTTATTTTACATGTTTTATTTTATGTTAGAAAACTTCACATATTGTTAGTTATTGTATACGTGTAAAAATGTTCAATTTTGTGTTTTGTCTTAAGGGTATTAAAGCTATGTTTATTTCGATCTTTTAACAAGTGAGGAGAGTCATCGAGTGGGATCATTCCCAACCGCCACCCCGCGTAGTCCCACTATTACCAATAGGGTGACAGATGGAACTGTTATAAAAGAAAATAAGTTCCAAATGTCCGGT